TCGTTTTCATTGGTTAATTATCGATTTGACCTGTCAGGTCAAAGAACACCATCTCAGGTCAAAACGTGGTGGATATTTATTTCTACAGCATTGAGCGTTGAAAATGCGATCGGAATCATTCGCCTACAATGAAATAAGTTAAAATTTATTTGCATTTCATAACATCTCAACAAATTTATTTTTTGCACGTTATTATAATCATTACGAGGTAATAATCAACAATTTATGGTGTAAAATTCTTACGGTCTGTGAGGAAAACGGTCGAAGTCATGATATTCATCATTATTTTCGATGAATGTTTCCATGATTCAGACAGTAGATTTTGACTGTCAGTCATTAGTTTATGCAAATGCAAGGTGTTAATTCCAAGTTGTTTGTTAAATATCTGGATATGTTTATATAATTAAGGAGTTGATGTAGAATTTAGAATTTTTTGTAATTGATGTACATGTAAGTGATATCATGGAGCTAAGCAGAAATGATATGTGTGAGCTGTTTGTCCTGTCACTTCAGAGGTGTCGCCAATGCTCCACAAAGTGGTCCGGCCCGAGCGAGTGCGGTGGCACGAGCTGAGATGTGCACGAAAAGAGAGGGACTGTGTGTAAACATTCCAATAACTTCCTTAGTGTATGTGCGCAAAAAAAAGACGTTGTAAACTTGCTCTATTCTTAGGTGAACTAGGTCAGTTACGAGAAGGGAAAAGAGATGGTTTTGACCCTATTGTCGATGACACGACGAACCAAGCTGTGATTACTGCCCTAGAATAGTTTATTGGCGAATGTGACGGGCATGGCTGGTCATGATAATAGTGGGGTTTGTTTGAGGGGCTCATCAACAAATAATTCCCTGACAATATGCTTTGAATATGCCACTGCATAAAAGTACAAATGTGTCTCGAAATAAATAAATAGAATGATCATGCAAAAAATGTTATGTTCCCTGAACTATATCCCTGCAATGAAATGATTGTTGACCGACAACATTACATAAATAAATGTATGTGTGTCCGTGTTTGGTAACGTATGAGTTGCACATATATTTGTGTATATTTGGCGTTGGGCAACTGGGTATGCCATGCCACACAGCCATATCATGATTTTTTTTTATTTGTTAGTGCCTTTTTCTATGTCGCATAACGTCATTATTGCCAAGTCGACAAGACACGTTATGGCACACGATGTAATACGCGCTACTAAACATTGTGCATGTCATTCAAGCACGGAACTAAATAAGGAGCTCTATGATGCAAGTAAAAAAACAGCTTTAAAATTGCGGGTCCCGCGAGCGTTGAACGCGATTCAACAAGTCCTTTCAAATCAGATAATAGTGTAACGCATGATGTTAGCTTATGGAATTAACACCTTCAGTTGAAATTATAACAGCTATGTATCAAGTAAATAACTGGGCAGACCATGCAAATTACATTTCCCATGATGCACTGGTGCAATCCCTGGGATTGTGAAGCCATGCTTTAAAGGCATTCTGGTATCGGACGGGCAGACAGATGCACAGAACCCAAAACGTAAGTCCCTGTTTTGGCCTACGTCAGACAGGGACTAATAAATGACAGGTTGTAAAATGAAAGATTAAACTAGAATCATGACTAACCATGGTTTTCATAGATCTTCTTGATATGGCAGGTGATGTGTACATACTGCTGTTCTTGGTACTGACTCTGCTGATTACAGGTGATGGGTACACACTGCTGTTCTTGGTACTGACTCTGCTGATTACAGGTGATGGGTACACACTGCTGTTCTTGGTACTGACTCTGCTGATTACAGGTGTTGGAGCTGCACTTCTATTAAAGCTAAGCAATAAAATACACAACATTATAGGTTAGATCTCTAGATTTCAGAGTAACACCAAGTATGGGGTGTGGGTGTGTGACAAAAGGTATATTGATCTAGCTACTGACATGCCGTAGCATGTTGAGCTTTCAAGTTCTCTGGTTGAGCGTAAAGCCAGTATCGACTTTGAGATAGAAAGGTGGTTCATAATAAGTTAATAAACTATCTTTTTCTAATCATGTTAATAAAATTATCAGTTCATCAAATCATATGATTGGGTTTATTAAAATGAATTATCTGTTGCAATATTGATACGTATAAAGTTGCTTTATATTAATGGAGTGTGTATAAAGTTGGAATATGAGCGTATATTTGTAATACCGGTAGTATAAGTACAGTATAGGTAAAAACACATAGCATAAAGATTGAAAAGGTGCAGCACAATTTCTGTATAGACTGGATGGGATACTGAGGTACCATACCAAGTGTAAAACTCATGGTTGTGTTAAGGCGACTAAGAATGGATTTTAAAATAATATTATAGCTAATTTTTAGAATTCAAATTAGGATAGTTTTCCTTTTACCACAAGTCTGTAGTCTTGTTTGTCATTTATAAATATGTTGCTAGCATTGCTGTTTTTTTGTGATCTTTATAGTTGATGTAACTAACACACCACTGTTATTTGACAGTGATGGCTGTTGTTGGTAAATAAAATAAATAAAATCAAGAGCACCTTTTGGATGCATTATAGAGACATTATACACTTACAGCCTTCCTTTGTTTTGGTGTTTTGGTTGGTCTTGTTCCAATAAACCTCCTTTTCACTGGCGTAGTTGGTTTACTTCCCCATTTGGTTTACTTCCCCATTTCATTTCTTGTTCCATTTCCTTAGCTCTAGCTTTTACCTGAAACAAAAGAAATACATTTAATACCATTCAGATACATTCAATTGCCAACGACACGTTTATTTTAGTTTGCCATCAGCTGTACACATGCACTAAAAAAAATTGTCTTTTTATACAAAATATTAAATTCTTTTGATTTAAAAAACAGTTCTTTGGTTGCAAGCATTTCCAAGTAGCAACAAACCCAAGTACTAACTTAGTTTTGGCTGATATATGCTGTTATAATGCAAACTGTTTTACTGCTAGAAATGTTTGCGTTTTTAGGATTTCATGACATTTCGCGAAAGTCACAAATTTGTTACTGCTAGAAAATTTTACAATTTTCACGCACAAAATTTGTCTTTCAGGAAATTAAAACAGTTTACAGTACACACACTATGATTTCATCAATCTAAGATAAAAAAAAACAAAAACGTGTGGTTCGACAGAATATACAACAGGCATTAAATTGGTCATACTCTCTTTGGTTACTTTCTTCTTAGTTTTATGGGCTGCCCACTGTGCCTGTACATAGTCCATGAAAGGGCAACCATGAACCAAGAAATTTTTACACTTCTCTTGTTCCCACTGTGATATCCTGGCACCTAGTTCTTTTTCAACCTGTTAAGGCATATACATATTATACAGTTGTAATACTGGACACCATAACCAATTATATGTGAAATGTATATAAAGAGAAGTATGAATGTCTAATTACTGTGAAAAGCATTGAATAAGAGCTACTCTATGAAAATGTGCAACATTTGATTGTTGATTACGGTAGAAGCCTATTTCATAATTTTTGAAAAAGTTGGTCATAAATCACATGACACTGTTTATTTGTTTATAGTGTAAAATCACAAAGCTAATGTTCCATGGAATCATGAAATCACATTTTGTGTCCTAATATTTTTTAACAATCATTGTTTTTAGAACAATTTCACAGATCACAATGTTGAAGAAAAATTGCATTGACATTTTTTAAAACAAGAAGTACTCCTTCATTCAAAATATATAATTTGTTCAGCCTAAGTCACCAATTAAAATTTTTGGAAATGGCGTAATATCTCTGCCATACAAACCTATGAAAAAAGCAATATAATACTACCAAAATGGCCATTATCAACTAAAATACAACTATCATTTTCTTGAAAATTAAGCTGATGACCCCTAACTTTTTTTAAAGTCAATAGTCTTGTATTGTCCGGAAGTACAACTTATTGAAAATTCTGGGTATTTGCATTAATGAGTAGGCTTCTACCTTAATAGCTACCACAAACTAAATGTTGCATTGAGGAAGAGAGGGATTATGCGTAAGCATTCATTTTGTAGAAGTTGTTAACCTGAACTATAAGCTGGGCAGAAAGTACGATGAATGTCAGTCAGGTATTTTCATTCTTTAACGATGATGTCATGCATTTGAGAAGAGGAGAAAGTTTATATTAGGACAGCTAGGATACAATAAAAAAAGAACTAACTCACTTTTGGTAACTCTTTCTGTAGTCTCTTT